AGTCTGCACGTGCGGCTTATGAATGGCTTCATTTGTTCTCGGTTTTCCTAATGCTGTATTATTCAGACATAGCCCCTTTGGCTGTGTTGCAAGGGGTTACCTGTCCATCAGTTTGTTCCGAATCAACGGAGGTGATGTGTGAAGCTGACAGGGAAGCCAAATATGAGACCACAAGGCGAAACTGTTGTCTGATAACAATCACTGTCCACGGATGATTCAAATGATGGAAGTCATCATAGAAGTGCACAGAACTGGTCAAGATAACGGATTTCTCAACTGAATACGTATCCTGCAACGCTGCTTCTCAGCAAGCAGTTTCTCCCACAGTGTGATCCCCGGGTAGTTGCAGTCTGTGAGACGTTTTACAGACAGACTTCATCTGGGATTTTGGCAGATGTGACGGTAGCGAAATAAGTTTGAAAACAGTGGTGGGGCGAGGGACTTCTATGTGATGACATGATTAAAAGAAAAGTGCAATGTTTTTTTTTTTCCTCAATATCCCAACGGGGTTGTCACCAAATAGTGGAGTGCATCTCTCTCACGCTTTCCCACAGAATCTCAGCCTGGTGTTAATCTGAAGTTGCAGCCTCACTCTCTCCCAGGAGGTGTAAATTGATGAGTCGATTGGCACCTTTGCCACTTCCTTTGCTTGATGCGCTGCCTTGGCTGTTACTGGATTTCCACTTCATGACAAAGTCTTACTGAACCATAACTGCATTCTAAACAACAAGCTTATCGGAAACCCAAACACCTCTGAGCTCACTCCTTATTGCTTAATTGATTCCTTTTGCTTCATAAGAGTCTTCAGCCATACCTCTTAAGGCCGGCTTTGAAAATGTCTGCAGAATAATTTGATCGCAAAAAAGGTCTGCAGAATACTAAAACATAACCAGAAAGCAAACATTTGGATTACCACTGGAGAAGGAGATGACAGGCATTTATTACCAAGCAAGCCAAAATTAGTTTGCATGAGGTTTTGCTCAGAAGCAGAACAATTGGATCAATAAGGTGTAGGAAAGGCATAAAAACTGCCAGGTCAGCAGTTCTAGCCCTGCCTTCCACACCTAACCTAACCAGTCCCAGGCATGCTGGCAATACGTTGATGTGGATCCAGGGAGCAGAGCTTGAAACAGCCACAATGCCCTCAGGACATATCACGCCGGTCCTGCCCCTGAAGCCGGGCTCTAATGAAAGCCAGCCAGGGGTGTGCGTGCTGGGTGAGAGAGCAGCTGTGCCCCCATTGTCTTCCTGCCCCTATTGTCTGCACAGCAGCGGCCCAGAGATCATTAATAAACATCCGGGGAAGGACCACGAGGGATCCCGCAGCTGCGACTGCCCACCAATTACTCCCGAACAATGCCAGTTTGGAAACAGAAAAAATCTGGTCGTGCTCTATATGGAAAAAAAAAGACAGAGACAGAAAAAGTAGTCTGAGGCTAGATTTATGTGGCAGCCAAGAAGTAATTAGCACTGCTCTGCAAGAATGCAAAAACTTAACCATTGCTGTGGGGTCTCAGCACTAGGAGCTGTGTGCCAGGAGGCACCTACTGACAAGAATTTCCCAGCGTAAAGAGGCAAGCAGGTCTGAAGATTCAAGTTAAAAGATCAATATTTTTGACTGATATTTTGTTTTTGTTGTTATTATTTTTAGAGCTAAGGGACTGGTATTCTGTGAACTGCCTGTAGTCAGATAATAGTAATAGTTACCAAAGCGGCAGTGAGGCTAAAGGGGGGAGAGATGAGTTACGCGAGATGATGGGACCTTGTGGTTAGTCGTTTATGGCTGGAGGTAGTGTCACTCAAGTGGTTAAATAACAAGAACAGGAAATCAGGACATTCGTCAATCTCACATGAATTCTGCACCATCAACTCTGGAGAACAAAAATAATGCTGTATAGCAGCTTTTTGCCTCAGCTTCATTGTAGCTGAAAGTGCTCTGGGGTTTGATCAGTTACAAATGTTTGTAGCAGACATGACAATTCAAGCAGCAGATATAAATACACAAAGTGGCAACAAAGCAAAACCCCATAATATCTCTTCCTACTCTGTCTTAGTTCTTAGTTACAGCACAATACCTGTCTCCCAGTTCAGATGGAAAACTGAGCAAGGACCACAGATCAGGTCCTGAAAATCACTTAGGAGCGGCTGTGAAGTTTATTCTTTTATTTGAGAAAAAGCATGCCAGTGAGGTCTGTCTACTTACTGTCCCTGTAGAAACTGTTCAATCTGTACCAGCAGTGCAGATTGAAAAAGACCAGGAAGGATGGAGTGGAGTGAGGCTGTTAAAATTCTCAGCTCACTAAAGTGCGGCAATGCAGTGGATGTGTTCACAGTCCCAAGTGAAAAAGTTGTGCATTCGCTCACCACAGCACTCGCACTTTCTGAAATAACACATGGGACACCTGGTCTGCAGTGTAATGCTCACATGGGATCTGGGCAACTGAGACATCATATACTGTATGTCACATATGCGGTCAGATCTTAGGCTATAGCCACTATGTCAGGTGTAGCTAAAAGTGCACAATAAACAATTGCCTGCCAAGGGGATACTCCTACAGAGGTGCTTTGTTTAATTAGATGAGTGCAGAGGTTGGTCAAATGCCAGGCTGCAGGTCTGGCCAAAAAACCAAGAGCATCCATGCTCAGAGACCTGTCCACATCAGGGACTGAATCCCTTTAGCCAAAGGCTATGTTCACTAATCCAAAGGGACCACCCCATCTGAGGGCAACCAGGAAGAAGGGCACTCCTAGCATCAGAGTGAGTGAAAGTAACTTATCTAAGGTTGCTGTGTAGATAACAGGGAGTTGACAGAAGAGCTGTGAGTACAAAGACAATCCTGCATTCCCTTCCTTTACTTATTTTTGTATGCAGTTAGTCTGTGCAGAACAGGTAATCACCTTATTTATTTAATGCATGCAGGAAAAATGGCACTCAGCAGCCACAGCAGTGAGCAGTCCAAGTGCTAACCAGCCTTAAGCAAGAGAGTCCAAAGTCTCTTTTTCAGGACAACTCCAGTGTCCCAGATCCCAGTTAAATAAAGGATCTCCACAGAGCCTGTAAAGTCAAAGATCTGGCCATTGTCAGCCCTGCTGAAACCTGAGTCACAGATCCGAGAAACTCCTCCGAACTATCCAGTCATAAATGTAGAAGCAAGCAACAGCTGGAGGAAAGGTTTACAGAAAGAAAGAAGAAAAGGAAAGACAAGAGTCCTTTAACCTTGGAGACAGGTGAGCCAGCTCTCCACAGGAATATTTCTGCTGTATGCCTAGTGGGATTCAAAAGCAAGATTCTAGTCAGATCAGCGCAGATGCAATAGAGGTGGTGAGCTGCCCCATCAGTCCATCGTTATAGGAGAAGAAAGACTGTTGTGGCCATCAGACAGCTTTAGTACAAATACTCAGGGGATGGGCTGCAGCATGAGACTTCCCAATGAGGAGCCCTTAATTTGAATATTGAATACATTTTGCTACAAAATAAATATACCTGAGTGTAGCATTTGAAAGCAGTGCTCTACATTTTATAATAATATTGCAATTTTATTTATAAGAATTTTTCACAAAGCTCAAAGCATTACAATAGCACACGTATTATACACATAACAAAAGAAAACAGTGACCCAATAAAGCCAAGAGCAAAACTAAATTATATGTTAAAAGCTTTTGTGAAAAGACAGGCCTTTAAGCATGTAAGCAGTCATACAGTCTCATAATGGATTTGGGCACAGTGTTCCCCAGATGTGATGCAGCACAAAAGAATGAGTTGTGGATGTATTGTGCATATTCTGTCAAGGCTGGTCTTCCAGACACTAAGAAGGCCTGAATCAGCTGATCTCAGTATTAAGTGCTGGGCCATATTCATAATAAACCCTTAAAGTAACTTGAAATTAGACCATTCAGTGTCTCATACAAGAGCAGGAAATCTTTAAACAACCCACTGATTTATGTAGGATGGGAGTTATATGATGATGCTGAGTAGTTTTAGTTAACACATGAGCAACAGAATTTTGAAGATACTGAAGCCTGTTTACTACCTTAGTATATACTTCAGTTATTATGAAATAAAGGCTATTTCATGTAATACAGCCATTGTTTTAATTTGAGCAAAGGTTACACAGATGGAAGAAAGATAACTTTGTGATGTTTTAAATTTGTGCTTCAAATGATAATGCAAGGTCAAAAGTAACACAGAGGCTCCTTACTTCGAATCAAGAGTTTTATTTCAGATCTGTTAACAGCACTAAAGTCACCGAGTTTGTGTTGCTGATGTTGGGAACCTAATTTCAGTTCAGTTACAGTTTAGCCTGATAAAGCTCTGTGGCATTGTCATCTTAATATCACACAGGCACTTCTGAAGTGTAGGATCCACAGCAACAGTGTGTGACTTCTTTTCATATTCAACAGAGTATCTCAGTGTCATCAGTTTAGCAGTGAAGCTCAAATCCTCTATGCCAAATAATCTGGTCAAGGACAGCGTGTAAATACTACAAGGTAATAGTCCCAGTGCAGAAGACTTACAGACATGCACAGAAACAGTACAGAAAGAAGTGGTTTAAAGCAAATACCCAGAACAAATCTCCACCATTGCTCTTAAGCTAAGGCCTTGAAGAGGGCTGTACTACACAATCACAATTACTGTGGGAAAACTATGTATTTCAGTATGAATTAAATGTGTAATCCAATTAGGTTTTATGAAGTTGTTCCACTTTCACAAATCTCCACGCTTGTTTGTAAGAAAAATATTACTGCAAATCTTCTCCAAAAGGAAAGCTTTCATATCACACAGACACAAGTAATCACAAACCACCAATATCAGTGAGGCTAATTAACTTGTAAACAAAGCCAAAAGTCAGACAAATGTTTGTTCAAAAGATCCTATCATCTGCTTTGCACAAATTACATTTTATTCACAGCTGTCACAGAGTAACAGACTTTTTTTTCTCTCTACATGTCTATTACAAAGCCCACCAATAAAACAAAACATTTTCAGTAAAATATCTCACCTTGCAAAAATGTTGTCCCAGAGCAGAGCTCCAATTCATTGCAATCAATGACAAAGTGATTTTCTCCACTGGCTTGGTTCAAAGGGCAACTTTTGTGGCCTGTTACATTCAGGATAATGCCTCTATTAGTTTTGTACTTCACAGTCTGGGTGCAAACAAAAGATTTCAGGCATTCTATTGTGTGTTGAGGTCGAATAGGGTTCTAGAAACACCAAACTGAATTCCATTAGTTTCAGGTGTGTTGCATTCTGGGACCTGTAGGTCTGTAGTTGCCAATTAAAGAAGCAGTAGAGGTAGAATTCACTTGCATATGCGATTGTAAAATTAATCACTAAACGTCAGTGAACTAAGAGCAAAACATAATGAATGTCATAATGCATAATGTATGAAACTCTCAAAATTAAGGTAGTAAAATGCAGTACCTATAGACACTCACTGTGGCTTCATTTTTTTTTCCTACATCATAATACAGTTTTTTCTCAGCATTTAAATGTAATTTTCCTATTAAGTTGTCTTTCATTTTATTATTTTAAAAGCAATTCATTGCTTAACAGTACTCTTGCACACAGCTCAGAAATCATTCAGCCAGCGCTGTCAGTATCTAATATCTAAATAATATGAATGACATATACTGTACATGTTCTTCTGGTTTCTAATTGGCTAAAAAGCTGTACTTTTGACAAGGCCAACATTTCTTGCTAGATCTTTAAATTAATACAAATGTTTAATTGGCATACAGAACGCTTCAGGTTCTGAAGGGAGGTTTGTCATTAGCACACACACAGCCGCATGTATACAGTGTCAGAGATGGGCAAGGGAAAATCCTGGAAGGTCCAGTAAGGTATCCTGCGAAGAGACATTCTGTAGGAGCTGAAGTTGTCACACATAAGAAACACCCAAAGAAAACGCAATGTCAGATCGGAATAGATCCATCGAAAAACGGTTAAAAAACTTTTGACCACAAAATGCACAACTGATAGATAGAAAATAAAGGACCATTACCACTTTAAACATCATCGCGCAAACCCCAAACCACTCCAATTAAAGCAACCAAGCTTTCCTGGCAATTAAAAAACTACAAAGCTTGGCAATTTTTTTTCTTTCTCCTCATCAAATTATATGTGCTTTTTTTCCCCCTCCCTCCCTTCCCTATTTCCAGGAGGAAAACATGTTTTCCGAAGCCTTTTTTTTTTTTGTAAAGGTTAAAAAAACGCCTGATTGCGTAGTTTGGCAGGTAGAAGGCTGTGAGTGCAGGCTGTCAGACGGAGCTCCTGATTACCCAGCACCATTCATCAAAGTGTCACCCCCCTGACAGCCGCTAATAAATATACTGCCACAGACCCCGCTCGCACCTGGCAGCCGCCGCACTGCGCAGCAACACAACGTAAACCTCATTTGCTAATTGCTGCTTTCCCCATCAATTCTACTCCTGTCTTGTTCGGTGTCAACAAGAACTAAAAAAAGCCCGAGAAACATGTTAAGATTGCTGTGGATCACCTTTTTGTTTCTCCTTTTTTTTTTCTTCTCCCACATGCTCTCTGGTGTTTGCTGTAGTTTTACCTCACAGTGCTAACTTAATACACTGAGTAGCCTACAAGTACTCCTGAAGCCCGGCTTTACAATCAGAGGTCCAATAAGATCAATCGTGCTAAATTTTTGTATTCCAGTCTTAATGAACCCCATGTTTTATTTTTACTGCATGATCTCAATATGTTTTTGTTTCTTTAACAGACCATCGCATTTAGCTGTGGTTGCATTAGCTCTTTTAACATTACAATAGTAACTAAGGTCAAGCTCAGTATAACCTATGTGATCACAAACTAGGGCAGAGTACAAGGCAACTGACTTCTAGGTTCCTCACATGCCATTTTGTGCCCTGGACTGAAATGCTCAGAGGTTAATCTTCATGCTTCATGTCTACTGAAATGTCAGCGTGACTTGTCTCACATTAACACAACTCGTGCAGCCAGCTGTGTGGGCAAACACTGCTGCTAACTGCTGTTGAACTTTGCAATCTCCAAGTTATTCCTTTAAGATAAATACCCATGTGTTTACAGATCAACTGCTTGGTGCATGATGCACTCCATACTGCCCTTTCCATTGATGGAACATACTACAGAACTACAGGTTCACAGTCTCAGCTTCTTTTCTGCTTGCCCTTATGGTTATTACTTTGGACTTGCTGGTGAAACTTTAAGGTCTAGATAGTGTGGGTGGATAAGTCAGCTCTGTTGCTTTCCGTGATAATTATCTTGAATTGCATTATAATACACAGAAATCAACTATTTTTTGGAAGCAGCCCTCATATCACACTCTATACTATTTGCACTGCATAATGTAAAATTGATTTTCCTCTGGTTGTAGCCACTTCATGCAAAAAGTCTACCCTTTACCAAAGTCTGCCTTTTGTATTCCAGTACAGTCAGTCCCGTACAGTACACAGAAAGATGAATTGTGCCATTAACGCCTCAGCCTCAGCCCTAGGACATTTCCAGTAGTGAGCATGTTGAGCCCAGGCTCGGCTTGTCCTGCTCCAGTCTGTTTGTTGCTGGCTGCACTGGTGCCAGGCCAGGACTTGCTGTGCCAGCAGATGGTGTGGTGCAGGCTCCCCTAGTCGAGTCAGCACAGCCGGCCGCCCAGGCGGAGGGGGACGGGCGCTCGGGATGGCATCCAGCATCTGCTCTCACAGTCGGCCAGTGCCACCCACTGCCACCCACAGATTCGGACACAGGCCTCCCCGCCAATCCTCCATTTGAGGAAACTGCTCCCTTGAAACAGCTTGCTATCAGCAAAAAAAAAAGAAAAAGAAAAAAGCTTGCGGGATAAATTAACTATCGCTTCCCTTCATAACTATCTTATGAAGCTGTCCTGAATTACAAACTTTTCAAAAAGTGCTGAGTAAATAGAGTATAAAATAATGAACACATTTAGAATAGATATGTTCTGTAAAGAACTTTTACCTCATAAGCAACAACAATTATGTATTGTTTCAAAGGATTCCGTAGAGCTTCCCACTTCCTCCATTGCTGAGGTACAGCATCTACTTGAGTGATGGACATCCTTCAGTCTGTCCCAGCAGTCCCATTGCACTGCAGATCAGATGGCAAAACGAGAAATCAGTTAAATTAAGGGGGACACTCAGGCAGGCCAGACTGAAGAAATCTGACGTGGAATTAAGCCAGAAAACCATGGTTAGCGTTCCTGCTTTTACAGTGTTATGGGATTTTTCAATGACCAAGGACCTTGGCTTAACATCTGAATGACAGCACCTCCCATCTTACAGCATCCCCTGTCATCACACTGTGACATAGGACTGCAAATTGTTGTCCAAAGGGAAGACTTCTACTACCAACACCATATAGAGAGGCGACCAAGTTTTCCTTTGCAATCCCAGTACTGATCACGTGAACTCCTGAGATCCTGAGATCAAATAAGATCATCTTACAAGGTGGTGAAGTTAGCATTCTACTCCATAACTACTTACATTGCCAGAAATACCCTGCAGCACATCTGCAACATAATGGTTCTGTCTTTTTCAGTTCTGTTTCATTGGGTTTTACATACTGTATTTATTCCAAGCAGCTCTGTATTTCTGACTTGCCTTCAGTGTAAAAAAGGACCCGCATTTCTAACTTCTCTTTTTTTCCTCTTAAACCTCTGCACTTTTCTGTCACTACTTCCACTACTATATTACAGTCTACTGGTAGACCATTACAAAGTTTTAGTTTATTTTCTTGTCAGCATACTTTACTGGGAATTTGGACTAGCTTTGAATACCAGATCCAGCCACTGTCTGATATTCGTGGACACAGAGACTTCAAAGGGCTGCTGTGCTGTTCAACCTCTCATCTTCGATGTGTCAAATGTAAAGCTGTTAATTAGGGCCAGGTGATTAATGGAGAAGAGGCTGAGAAGCGCTGTGTTTTTGAGGGCGTCCCCTCCCTTGCCTGATTCTCGGGCTTGCTCCTAGACAGCCAAGCCGGGCCTGATGAGCGGAGTTTGAAATATTACATCAAGGCAGGACATGGCAGCATTGCGGGCCTCAGCTTTTGCGAGGTGTCAAGTGGAGGGGAGGGAGAGCGTTATAAATCATCCATTGCCATTCAGACTATCAGTCTCAGATCCTGGGTGTTGGAGACACCTTACCAGTGATATAATTAAGAGATTAGCATCAGCTCCAGCGAGCTAACATAACTCCCGCACAGATGATCAAGGATGACTGTAAGTCCCATAATCCAAGTCACTTTGTTTTCATGTGTGACATCTACAAATTTGCACACAGGCTTATAAATCTGTAGCTTTATTGCATGTCTTTGTTTTCATAAAGCGCCTGACTTTTGGAATGTAGTGCCTTTACCAGGGATGCGCACTGTAATAGTGCTTTCATGAACACCAACATCATTTAAAAAAATAGCAGAGATACAGTATGTACTATATAAGTAATACAAAACTCCCCAGCTAGTACAGCTGAGCTCAAGTCTTATCTTAAAGTTAAGGGCAAAGGTCGTGCTCGAAGGATTCATTAATTCCTTGACATCACTTATGGTGCACATTATCGGCCACATTAGGTTAAAAGTTTATTCTGGTTTACATATTAAACAGACCTCCAATAAATATCTGACCACATTTCGTTCACCTAGCCAGTTCTCGGAAATATCCAGAACTCCAGAGAAATAAAAAATAATAAATACGACTAAATAAAACTAAAATGGAATTAAATCCAAACTTCTTTTAAACATGATTCTTTCATATAGTTGCAGCTTTCAATACAAATCTCAAAGACAGGGTATCAAGCGCTGATCTAGTCTCATATTTTTGCATAACCCAGGAGCAGACGGCAGCAATAAATGTTATTTAGCGATCCATATTAATTTCAGCACCAGGACGTCCTGTGTGTCTTATGACAAAGCAGTTACACAAAATCATTGTGACCTCATTACAGAAAGGGTGGCTTGGGAGCTCCTGTAACGATTAGACTTCACTGTCTGCTCGTGCTGCTGAGACCTGTCCTCTTGTGGAACCAGCGTCCTGAACTGGAACAGCCTGTGCAGGAACAGCCAGGCATCAGGGGAAAAACAAATTCCTTAGGTTCTCGTTCTGCCAAAGAGCAAAAAATACAGTACAAGGAAAAAACTCTCCCGTTTTGTTCTCAATAAGGCCTCTACTAGCTGAATGAACAGATTATTCTTACTATTTGGTATATGAGGCAGAATTAAGTCATGTTTCA